GGAATTATTATTTACCTATAATTGTGGATTCTGGTACCAAAATCAACAAGACACGCCCCAACCTGCTGATTTAAGTAACGTCATTGAACTAATATTTGTGTTATTATCTTATTGATTGTTTATTGCTACATTAACTTTTGGATGTAATAACTTTATTGCTGTTTTTCGGTTAATATACTTTTTGGTCCACCACATGTGTATAGTTTTGTGAGAAGATATAGTGCAATTTAAAACCTTTTTTGATGCACATAAATTTGTGAATCTCTCCACATCTTCGTCATTTTCTTTCAGTCACCATATGAAACTGATATTTATCGTCTTGACTGCCAACATTGATGAGTGCGTGGCACTGAATACCACTCATTGTGATCTCTTTCTTTCTTTTAGATGATCCTTTGACGTTTCCGGATGCTTAAAATTCTCATTCTGCAAGTACATTACGTACTTTAATGGACAACATTATTTCAACTCCATGTTTGTGCGAAACATTTTTTTATTCATGACCACAGTACAACAGCATCTCTCCGGAATCTATCCTTTTCTGTCCAGCTTGAGTCCATTGGGTTTCGCTGATTCTGAGCACCACCGAGTTGTATCTCCTCATTTCCGCGGCTATTTGATTGGTCCTTCTCTTCTCCCATATTGTTCCATGAACCACTAAATATTTTTGCTCTGATTGTTAGGAGAGGCATCGGTCTCGTGACTTCCAAAGAATCTCGGCTCTCACTATGGGGCATTATAATTCTTCTAAATGAAAGTCCTCTAACTTCGAAGACAGCGTTCGAAATTTTTAAACTTTTTTTCTGGTTGGCGTCTTTTAACAAAGTCTATTATACGGGATGGTGTTGTTGATTTCATGCTCAACCCTTCTCCTTCTTCCAGTCTTGAGACCATCAGTGAGGGTGTCATTTGTTGATATTAATGTTATCTTCTTGTATTGACCATCGAATTTCCTACGCGTTTCGGTGTTTCTGTCGAAGAATGACGGTTTCCAACCAGTGGGTTTCATTTAGTTCAAACGGTTTTCTGTGAGAATATATGGTGTTCTTATATGTGTATCGGTTATTTGTTCTACTTACAAATGTCGTTATACTTTTGAAATTATAAACATCATAGTTCTTTTAACACTGATGCTTTATTTGCGAACACTGACTGGTCTGGTCGAATTTCTTCTGTACCCATCTCTGAATGAGAAGTTGAAGCATCTTTCATCATTCAGATTTTTGAAATCCCAGAAGTAAATGTATCAAACAAATTGCAATAAATCAGAAATCTTAAAGTGTACGTAATGAAAATCGAAACTAAGTAACACATAACACAAGTGATCAGCCGTTATCAACAATCGGATAATGACGTTTCAATAGCTTATGATTCAAGAGCAAGCTGACAGTTAGAGCTATACAAAATGCCTCATACTTAACGTTAGTCAAATGTTGTCTTTGATATTGATCATTATATCCATTTGTAATCCCTTTTGTTCATCTTTTATATTTTCGTCGAGGATGAAGTAGATACCATATTGATACGGCACAATTAGTAGAACTCAGTCTCTAACTTGATTTTATTAGTCTCACCATTTTGATGGTCCGCGTTATTGTGGAGATGTTGTTATAATTCTTCTAAATATCTTTTGTTTGTTTTTTTGAGGCATATAGCTTCTTTGACAGTAAATTGGCCATATCTCAACTTCTTGTCAAGATCTGACATAGTATTCAGATTTAAGTGCCGATTGATCTTCTAATGCTTCAAAGCAGCCATAATAAATGTTAAATAAAAAATGTATGCTAAATCACTAGAGTGTACAATCGAGTTTCTCCTTATTAGCTGATCCGAAAGTTTTAACAAGAAATAGTTACGAGAGGGACCTGAAGGTTGATGAGTTTCATTGAAGCCATGGACCTATTAGAGTTGATTGCCCCCGATACCCTCGTAGCGTTAGACGGCCGTTTCCTTCTCACTAATAGCTAGCTTAGAATGAAGACTCAAGAAAGACCTGAGCACTAGGTTCCAGGCTTTTCATGATCGACTCAAAGGAACTACTATGGAGAGCAACTGGAAAGGGATCAAAGAGGCGATCACTTTAACATAATATGAGGTTCTATGACACACGAAGCACCACCGAAAGAAATGGACCACTGTCGATACACTGGACAAGACTCAAGAAAGAAAAAAAAGAAGACATCAATGGATACCAAACGAACAAGAGCAAAGAAAGCAAAGGCACAAAATGAATACACAGAAATAAACAAGCAGATGAAGTGGAGCATCAGAACTGACAAACGTAAATATGTGGAAGATTCAGCAATGACGGCGGAAAAGGCTGCAGGAGAAGGAAACATGAGACAACTGTATGACACAGCAAGGAAGCTTGCTGAAAATTATAATAACTAGAACTGCCAGTGAAAAGCAAGGAAGGCGAGGTAATCACAAACATTGAAGAACAGTGAAACAGAGGGGAAGAACACATCAAAGAACTCTTGAATCTACCAGCCTCACTGAACCCACCCAAAATCGAAGCAGCACCCTCGGACCTCCCAATCAATGTTGGCCCACCAACAATTAAAAAAATCAGCGTGGCCATCAGACAAATCAAGAGTGGCAAAGCAGCAGGGCCAGACAACATTCTAACAGAGGCAGTGCAAGCAGACGTAGCGGTACTGTAAGGATACTCCACATTCTCTTCAATAAGATTCGGGATGAGAAACAAGTACCAACAGACTGGAAAGGACACTTCATCACGATACTAAAGAAAGGTGATATCAGCAAGTGTGATAACTATGGAATGAAGGACTGCGTAGACGCCCAACCTCGAGACCAACTGGCGAGATTCCGTAAGGATAGATCGTGTACAGACCAAATCGCAACTCTACGGATCATTGTGGAACAACCAATTGAATGGAATTCATCACTCTGCATCAACTTCATTGACTACGAAAACGCATTTGACAGCGTGGACAGAACAACACTATGGAAGCTTCTTCAACACTACGGCGAGCCTCAGAACATAGTCAATTTCATACGGAATTCCTATGATGGATTAAGCTGCAAAATCGTGCATGGAGGATAGTTGACAGAATCGTTCGAAGTAAAGACTGGTGTTAGACAAGGTTGCTTACTCTCACCCTTTCTCATTCTCCTTGTGATCGACTGGATCATGAAGATGCCAACATCTGAAGGGAAGCATAGGATGCAGTGGAGATCTAGGATGCAGCTGGACGATCCAGACTTCGCAGATGATCTGGCTTTTATATCGCACACGCAACAACAAATGCAGGAGAAGACGATCAGTGTAGCAACAGCCTCAGCAGCAGTAGGTCTCAATATACACAAAGGGAAAAGCAAGATTCTCCGATACAACACAGCATGCACCGATCCAATCACAATTGACGGAGAAGATTTGGAAAATGTAAAAACCTTAACATATTTGGGCAGCATCATTGATGAGTACGGTGGATCTCGCGCAGATGTGAAGGCGCAGATCTAAGAAGCAAGAGCAACATACTTACAATTGAGGAACATCTGGAACTCAAAGCAACTGTCAACCAACACCATAGTCAGGATTTTCAACACAAATGTCAAGACGGTTCTATTGTATGAGGCGGAAACCTGGAGAACTACGAAAGTCATCATCCAGAAGATACAAGTGTCTATTAATAGTTGACTATGAAAAATACTTCGGATCCGTTGGCCGGACACTATTAGCAACAACCTACTGTGGGAGAGAACAAACCAGATCCCAGCGGAGGAAGAAATCAGGAAGAAGAGCTGGAGATGGATAGGAAACACTTTGAGGAAGGTGCCCAATCGTGTCACAAGACAAGCCCACACATGGAATCCTCAAGGCCAAAGGAGGAGAGGAAGGCCAAAGAACACATTACTCCGGGAAATGGTGATAGACATGAGAAAATTGAATAAGAATTGGATGGAATTAGAAGAGAAGTCTCAGGACAGAGTGGGTTGGTTGGAGAATGCTGATCGACGGCCTATGCTCCATTGGGAGTAACAGGCGTAAGTAAAGTAAGTAATAACAACATCTGAGGTCCATGGTGAGGGTGCTATAGGTTTCCATGGTTATGAGGTGCTTTTATCCGTACCAACTTCACAACCGAAAGCCACCAACCTAGTTAATACCAGAAGTGAGAAACCAAGAAGTTTGAAGATATATTTCAAATTTGCCGACATATTGAGAAGTGTTTATTAATAGGTATGTATGATAGTTGTTGAGAGGGATGCGTAACACGATCTATTCAGTGGTGATGTTGTGCGGATGCGTGACCAAGTGCCTGTAGCTAGAGTATGTCCGGTCAAGCAAACAAGGTCAACGTAAATGTCGAAGACATACGGAACTATTTAGTCCCAAGATCCATTTACCGCTACGACCGAATCGTCAGCGGTTGACTCATAACGCATACCATGGTCCCTAGGAATTTAGGACGTGCCTGATCGGGCTTAAATGATATCAAATGGGTGGACAGAAATAGACTTTCAAGGTGTATGGTGAGAGGTGCTATAGTTTACGAAAAACCCCTAAGAATAATGGATTTTTACTCACTAGGATATAGAAGGGTGAGAGATTATTTTACATTGATCCGGGAGAATACTAAGTTTCTCATAAATCTACTAGGACATTTACATCAATGTAACAGATACTATAAACTGAACATTCACTGGTTACAAGTCAAACTTAACAGAATAGCATATATTGCTTACCAGCAATCAGGACCTGAAATTCCACATTATTTAAGGATTGGAGTACCTTTCATCGAGCTTTCCGAAAGAAAAGTTGATATTTTCTTAAAAATTCAACATATCTCAGAGTGACTCACCGATACTTCATCGGTTTGTACTGATTATATATACCTAGGTTCCTACCTGAGCTATAAGTGATTTATTGTAATTAGAAAAAGAAGTTGGGTGGGCCAAAATCTCTCTTATTCCTCTCATGGCCACTATAACCATTGGGCATTGTAAATCGTTGTTCATAATACTTGGAAATGCACATCGAAAGGTCGCGCGGGCGTTCCAAAGATGTGTGAGAACAGTACAGCTCCTTCTATAAATGATTTCGTAATGATAAAACCTATAAGCAAAGGTGCTTTTGGGTACTGAATTTTTTCTTGTGTAATCTTGAAAGAAAAGTGTTTTTAGGAGCCAAGGCAAACAATTTTGACCTCATATACGCAATAAAAATAATGTCTAAAGAAGAAATGAGGAAAAAAAATCTCGTAGAGAAAGGTAAGTGGATTGTTAATCAGTACTACTCCGCAGTTACGTGTGAGCGAAATGCTCTTGCAGTTAGTAAATGTCCATACATCGTCCATTTGTACTACTGTTTGCAAACAACCAGTCACATATATTTGGTAGTAATCATTATTATCAGTCTGAAATTGCAGGTTATGGAATACCTCGTCGGTGGTGACCTTAAGTCACTTTTGCTGGTTATGGGCTGTCTTCAAGAATCTCACGCTGCTATCTACACTGTTGAAATTGCAATAGCCTTGGAATATCTTCATACACATGGAATAATTCACCGTGATCTTAAGCCGGATAATATACTTATTGACTCCAAAGGACATTTAAAGCTGACGGATTTTGGGTTGTCTACTATAACATGGAAGCGTCGTAAGTTTTCTAAACTTGTCTCACTTTCAAGATTTTCTCAATAACTGCTTTGATCCTCCGAAAGTCTTTGTTAGCGATCACTACTTCTAATAAGTTTATTTTAAAACAGTTTTCATCCTCAAGTTTTGGGTCCGTACTTCATCCTAGTCAAACTTAAATTTTCTGTAAACGTATACAAATAAGAATCTAACGTACAGCGAAATCTTACGTCTAATAATTACTTGAACAGGCTTAGAGTGAAACGGAAACCAACTACTGGATGCATGTCTGATTTTCGTAAATAAACCAACACGGTTTTGAGCGCATTTTCATCGTAATTTCACAAAATTTATTCTATGGAGAGGTCTATAACAGTACATTAAATTTTACAAAAAATGTAGCAGTCGATGAAATATTGAAAAGTTATGGTCTCAATACAGTCAAGCATTATTCATTGAATGGTAAATATGTCATCATGATAGGAAGCAGCCTTTTTTGTTGTTATCTCTCTTGAGGAAATGTCTCCATCATCGAATTTAGCTCATATAAGTTACAAGTTTCTCCAAATGTTGTATACTTTAAGAAGTATACACCAAAACGTTATGGCAAAGGGAAATCTTTCGTGAACGGACATTCAGTTTCGGTTTGGGAAGGACAGGAGGCTTGATGGCCTGTGTTGGTCCTGGCAATGGTGGTCTCTCAGTTGATCCAACTTTCTCTTGAAAGAGTCGACGGATGGAGCCTCAATCACGTGCTGAGGTAATGAATTCCACTCGTTGATGATTCGATGGGAAAGTCGATTGTCAGCTGACAAGTAATTTGTTCTGGGTTTGTGAAATTTTCTGGAGTGTCCTCGTAAATTCTCTGTTTTGCAAGACAAGAAAAATGAGGGCATATCAGGTGCAAATTTATCACTAAGCAATTTGAAGACTGTAATCAAGTCGCCTCTAGTTCTACGATGTGACAACGGGAAAAGGTTCAGCTTGGCCAGTCGAGCTTCATACGGAAGCTTCGCTATTCCGAGAATCAGCTTAGTCGCCGTTCTCTGAACCTTTTCCAGAAGCTCACTGTCTTCTTTTAAGCAGGGGCTAGCCGCTTGTATGCAGTACTCAAGTTTAGGACGAACGAATACTGTATACAAAGTCAAAACGTCTTGGCGTCGACATGACTAAAAGCCCTACGTATTGGCCATAAGTTTCTAAAACCTTTGGCGGCTATTGCACAGCAGTGTGCAGTAGTCTTTAAGCCTTGGTTGACGATGAATTCCATGTCATTGTATGTCTGGACAACAGGTAGCTCAGTGTTATTCATCATGTATGTATCTGTACCTTGATGACCGATATGCATCACAACACATTTGGAAGTATTTATCGGCAACTGCCAGGTTTGAGACCATTCAGATAACTTCTTCAGGTCATTTTGAAGTTCTAAGCTATCACTCTTACATCGTATCGTTCTCCATATCTTGACATCGTCAGCATATAGCAAGACCGATGATGATAGGAAACGAGGAAGGTCATTTACATACAAAAGGAATAGCACTGGCCCCAAAACTGTACCCTGGGGCACTCCACTAAGCACAGTTCCCCAGCTAGACAACTTTGAGTTCACCCTTCCTCTTTGTTGACGCCCAACTAAGAAGTCTTTTATCCACATCATGTGGGAATTGTTAGTAATACACTTTACGTCTGTATTTCTAACATATCTGGGTCATCAGTTATGGTTAATTTCTTCGGAAAGTATAAACCGGTGTTACTTCTGCTCAAAAGAATGTCAGTTCTTGTTACTCTTGTTTTGCTTCGTCAAAAGGAATCTGTCCACTAAACGTGCTGTTTTAACTTGGTTAGATATTTTATGACATTTCAATATCCCTCTGTGTATGTATGGGGTCCGGTTGTCACCTCTGATCTCTCCGGGTTTACTGTTTCACGGAAATAAATCAATTTCCTGAGATGCTACATAACTTCCATAAAAAAGTCCTCCAATAGCCATCTGTGAATACTTGGTAAGCTTTCTCGGTTTTCCCGTGTTATTTGAGTTTTACTTCCCAATTGTTTTACCGTCCTTCCATTTGTGTTTACTTTTATAGCCTTGCAGCCAAGTGACGTTTTGAATACACCATCTATCGTTCCGTTACCTTTTCAATACTACCGAACTCCTGGCCAACTTATCTCACTGACAACTGAACTGGCTTTCGTAAGTATTCGGGAATTAATTGTGTTTTGTTCACTTAAGAAGCAGTAAAATAATAACATTCAAACAAATCTACCATAATAACAAATACCATTATCTTCGAATAGACTTGTAATTAGATAACGAACAGTAAAACATCTAAATCTGTTATGCCCCGATAAGAATAATGAGTGGTAATTTTTGGGATCCATTTGTGGACCAATACTGTACGTATAGTTTACCGTATAATTGTTAGTTAACTAAACTATTCTTATCGATTAAATGTTTAAATATTTCAATGGCAGTCGATTGATTAACTTATCGACTCAATGTTTAAAAAAACCTCCATGGCAATATCGATTATATATATATATACGTCTTGAATTGTGTTTATGGGATCACTCGTTTTTGGCTGTTTGCAGAATATACTTTCCCATTCCAAGCTTGGACTTCTCCCTATAGTTATTGGGGCTGGGACGCATCAAATAGCTAGATTACTGGTCTTTGGTCACTGAGTCTTTGTTCTCGTTCGCAGATTAAGTTAACTCGTGGTAGCTTCAAACCTATCAAAATCCTGATCTCTTGATAATAGTTTCTTTGAGTTATCTGATTTATTTCGACAATCTACTCCACAAATCATTAGATTTTATACTCCCTATTTGAGTCTATCATCGTACTGTTAATGTGTTGTACAAGAAGTAAAAATCACATGAGTTACTATTATTTAGTCTCGTAATAGACTGAGCATGGTAAAATGTTTCTCTGAAAGTGTTTACAGTAAGAATGAATAAATATTGCGTTTTTTTAGACAGTAAGAGCGCATATAAATAAAGAGTTAAAAAGGCTCACCAAAATAAGAAATAAAACACAAGGATTGTGTCTGAATAAATATAAAAATTGCAGTGTTACGTTATTATGTTTGTGTCTGTCAACAGAATTTAATTTTTCAAGTAGAGTGTATTTGAAAGTATTCGGCTTTGTAGAGTTTCGTAAACTTCTAATTTAACTGTTTCCACGTACAACTAATTTATTTATTGTGCTTTTTAGACAGATACACCTATCATACATAAAACTCATGAGGTTCTGGAGGAACGCTTATTGACTTCGCGGGATGACGATGCCAAAACGTGTTTATCTTCAGCAAAAGTAGTGTTATTTGTATATTTTACTTATGTCGTCTAACTTTCGTTGATTAATATTGTGGTTCCGTATGTTCTCAGAGCTATAATTCGTCTCCTTTAATTTGATCAGATGGTATCTGAATACTGAAATGAATCACATAAATGTGCGATACATTGTAACACTGGTTCTCAAGCTAGTTATAGGAGTGTTAGTTTTAATGTTCTGTAGCCCTTGAATGTGGTTTCAATTATCTAACAACGTTTGGTTCCAGCCAAAGAAAACCATAATCTCTGTCACATGCTAAGTGTATAAACTTAAGTGCACTTAAACGATGGGAACTCGACCAACTACATGTCGTTTAGTTTTGACCACCAACCAAGCACTTCTAATTTTTTCGCTTATTTACCTGGTCATACGACTTTCGTTAATCTTTTAAAGGATTTAGTGGCTCGTTTATGTATTGAACGGTCAAATCATGGACGCGATACATTTGTTGTTACTTTTCACGCCATGTTAGAAAAACTCGTTGCCATAGTTTTCATGTCAAGAAGCATTTAAATATTATTCTGTACACCTGCCGATGTATATCCGAACAGTAATATTTCCTTTAATTTCATACAGTTCTCATCTACTTTTTAGCGATTTTTCTTGAGAGTGATATTTACTAAATAATTTTTGACCCCACGTGGGTTCGTGGATATGCATTGCTGAGGGATCACATGGAAGGACGAAACAGCCCCCAAGTGCTTCCAGCTTTTTGATGGTCTCGTAAACCGGGTGGGTTCTTGATCTTAATACCACTCAACAATCTTCCGAACCCCCGTACAAGTAAATTTTAATTCATTTGTGTAGCTAATAAAAAAGCCCCCAAATACCCTGGTACAATCGAGTGTGGGGAGAGTCCACTCTCTCTTCTCGAAATGCTCTCACATGGCCACATGTATACAGCCACTGCCAGGGAAGTCCTACTCTTTGCCTTCTCGCTGTGGGGGTGTTTACGCAATTGAGAGGACCAAAAGCGAATGTCCGGTGCTTTAATCGGATTATTTATTTATTTATTTGAACACATAAATATTGGTACAAGAGAGCGCCAATATATATGCGCCACACAAAACAATGAAAATTCGAAGAGAGATAGAAAAAAAAACTAAGGAGCGCAAAAGAAAAAGAGAACGATAACGAAGAGATTGGTGTAAGGTAGTGTGGTCGTAACGATGGAACGGAAAGGTACAATCAGAAGAAATCTTTCAAGTGAGGGAGACACAACCACTTTTTATGAAGAAAGTAAAAGAAGGTTACAGCAGGATCGCCACTGGCTTCTATTCTGAGCCATAACTGATAACGTCTCTAGCCACTGTGTAGCACCATCTCTCAGACCCCAACCAGGGAGTCGTGAAGGACCGACAGAAGCCAGTCCTTTGCAGCTTTCTTTCATACCACGACACCATGTCATGCACTGACCACCTCTCCGCTTTTTCCAACCAGTCCCAGAGTCGGCAAATAATGCACGATGTGGAATTCGCTGGGGCGACATTCGTAGAACATGTCCAAGCCACCGAAGCCGGTGTTTCAAGATGGTGACACCAATTGAATTATCCTCACTGTGCCCGAACACACGATGCCAAACCTCTGCATTACTGACATGATGTTGCCACTGAATGTCAGCAATCCTTCGGAGACAGCGATGATCGAATACAGAGAGTCGTCTAACGTCCTCAACTCGGAGGCCAGGTTGCACAAGCGTAGAGCAAAACTGCTCTCACCGACGCGTTGTAGATCCGACCTTTTACAGCCAGACTAACATCACGAAGGCGCCAAAGGTGGTCCAGATTGGCATAAGCCGCTCTGGCTTTCACTATACGTGCATTGATCTCATCACTCACACCCCCACCAGCACTTATGCAACTACCTAGATACACGAACTTCTCGACTACTTCTATCTGTTCACCATCCAGAGTGAGTACAGGATTGGAATCCTGCCAGTCTTGTAGAAGTACTTTGCACTTCGAAGGTGCGAAGCACATACCATACCTACGGACACTGATTGCCAACTGATTAAGTGCGGATTGCATAGCTTGGGCATTATTGCATAGTAAGACAATATCGTCCGCATACTCAAGGTCGAGAAGTCTTTCTCCAGGCAACAGATCCACACCACCATTACTTACATTCATCAGAGCTGTTTCCAGAATGTCATCGATGGCAAAGTTGAAGAGGAATGGTGAGATTGGGCAACCCTGCCTAACCCCACTACTCGAATGGAACAATGGAGAGAGGTGGTTGTATGCCCTCACTCTGCCTGAGGTGTTTTTATATAGGGCTTTTAGGATGTTAATAAACTTCTCAGGCACACCCTTCTTCAATAGACAATCCCAGAGAACAATCCTATCCAACGAATCGAAGGCATCCCTGATGTCAAGAAACACTACGATTGTTGGCCTTTGATAAGTATGGCGGTGTTCTAACATTTGGCGGAGGGTGAAGATATGATGAATACAACCTCGACCAGAACGAAACCCAGCCTGCTCCTCGCGAGTCAATCTTTCTCGGGTTTTGAACAACCTACGAAGTATGACGGAAGCCAATAGCTTGGACGCAATCGGAAGTAGACTTATCCCCCGATAGTTGTTGCAGGAACGACGTGAACCCTTTTTAAAGATAGGGACAACTATCGACTCATTCCATGACGTTGGTACACTCTCTAGTTCCCAAACCTTTGTAAACAACGTCGTCAATTCCTTAGTCAAAAAGTCACCAGCATCTTTAAAAAGAGCCGGAGGTAAGTCATTTGGGCCAGGTGATTTGTAACGCTTCAAGAGTTGGAGTTCCTTGCGGACTTCCTCCTCGTTTGGTGGATCAGTCGTCACCGGCCATGGAGGGCAGGACAGTCTGACCGATGTTGCCGGAGCAGCAGGCCAGTTGAACTGCCCTTCAAAAAATTCTGCCCATCGTCCAAGACGTCGATGGATGTTAGTGATTGGCATCCCATCATCCTCGCAGATTGTTTTACTCACACCAGACTTCTTGCTGCCAGTGGCTCGGATGAGCTGGAAGAGCTTCTGGTAGTTACCAGATGCAGCTGCTGCTTCCAGCTCATTAGCACGCTCCGACCACCAGGCTTCTCGGTCCTTACGCAAGCTTTGCCCAATTTCCCTACGTAACATCCTTCGTTTATGGTCAAACTCACGGTCACCCGGAGTAGACCGACGGGCTTCAATGAGTTGTAAGGAACCAGAAGAAACCCAGTGCTTAAAAGCGGGACGTTTCGCAAACCCACAACTGACTGTTCCCGCCATTTTCATGGCGTCTTGAGTCTTGAATACGGGCCTCGGATAGACAACAAACATCAATATTAAGACTTTCCAAAGACATAGCCAGCCCTATCTGTTGTCCGACCTGCACTAGTGTGCGAACGTTGAAGGCAGCCAGTTTGAATGGTGCACGTGGTTTCAGAAAAACTGCTTCAGTTCTCGTATTCGGTGGTAACATACAATTATCAACCGGACACTGACTCGAGAATGTTTAGATACAGTCGAATTTCCACCAAAGACGAGCCGCTGTATAAGTATAAAAGAGGGTGAATAATGTGGAAAATAATAATATTAATAACAATAATGGTAATAATAATAATAGTATTAATAATGACAATAATAGTAATAGTTATTTGAGTCGATTGATTGTTTATCGGAGCGAGAAAATTAGTTGCCATAGTCATAGAGTTCATCGTTTGTGTATGGGCTGTGATACTGCTCGGGTGCCCAAACCGAAGCAGGTAGTTACCTTAGGGGGCCACACCCCGAGCCTTTGACCTAATGGTCTAACCCACAAGACAGTGGAGCATCGTAAGGAGATGCAATCCCATGGTAGCCGGTGACCAACGATTGGTTCATACGCCATTTGTTCCCGCAGGATACTGGAGCCCATGTGCACCATTGGTTTGTGATCCGGTTAAAGCGCCGGACATTCGCTTATCGTCCTCTCATTTTCGTAAACAACACCCCCGCCACGAGAAGGCAATGAGTAGGACTTCCCTGGCAGAGGCTGTATACGCGCGGCCGTGTGAGAGTATTTCGAGAGGGAGAACGGACTTTCCCCACTCTCGTCCGTACCGTTGGGGAGCTTAATCGGGTTGGTGGACACTGAGGGTCTACTTAGGGGAGCTGGAAAACCCTGATTCCAAACCAATGGTGCACATGGGCTCCAGCATCCTGAGGGAACAAATGGCATATTAACCAGTCATTGATCACTGCCTTGTGGATTAGACCTTTAGGTCGAAGGCTCCGGGTGTGATCCTCTAAGGAAACCATATGCTTCGGTTTGTGCCGCCGCGTAGTATCTCAGCCCACACACAAATCAGTGACTTGTGTGGCGTGTACTTATTCAGTGCTCTTTTGTACCAATATTTACGTGCTCAAATAAATAATAAATAAAAAAGTAACTCGCGGAAACATATAATTAGATGCTTTCTTGTTTCTTCAACCTGTATTTAAACAGTACCCATGAATGCTGTGTTGAATAAATAAACCACAAACTCATAATTCCCTATTTAACAACAATTTTTAAGGACAACGACCCAGTTTTGGCTATTAGATTGCCGGAGATATTAGTTAGAGTCTGGGGTCTAGACCTAATCTTATCTAATTAGTCTCAATCTCTGGTCATTTCAGTCTGTAATAGAGGGCAAAAGCCTCTTTTGCTGATCACAGAGAAAACAGTTTGACTGACATTTCGTTTAAAATATGGACCTTAATAATTATCCAACACTTAATTAAAGCTCGTAAAATGTCTGCATCGATTCAAAGGGCTTGGTTGTATTTCGCCAACTTGCATCACATGTGGCGTGGACAAGATATCCGTCTGAAAACTACAGGACACGTTCACCGCGCAACAGTTTGCTTCGTTCTATTTTATGGATGTGAACCATAGACATTAGGAGGGGAGGATGTTCTTGGGTTACTACTATTCGATTATAAGTTTGTTGGAATTATTTATCGTGTATTTTGAGACTATCGAGTCGTCAATTCTGAGGTTAGACGCAGAGCAATAGGTAAGTATGATGAATCCGTTGACGGGATAGTGAATCTTCATCGACTGAGATGGTCACAACATGTATTACGTTTGCCCAACCATCGAATATCTCGATGAGTGACGCCTGGTATAGGAGTAGTTTAGAAGAAAACTAGGGGTGGTCAAACCAAGATCTGGCTACAGCCCATGAGACCACTAACTGTCGGGTTGAACTATGTAAGTTTGTGAAGACTATTTGGCTGGGATCCTCTCCATGATGGTAACTGATAGTTGGAGAACCATTTACAATGACACACGTGCATTTACTCCTAGTTTTTCCTTGGATCCCAAGTTTCTGAGTACCATAGAAGCTTTTTATTCCAGTAATTCACTTCTATTCCCGAGTCGTATGTTCGACCCCCAATCTCTATTAGCACTAATACTGCTACTGTCTCTACTACTCGAAGAGTTTCCCTGAAAATTCCATCTCGCTGTGCTATTGCTGCTGGTTGATTTTGAATAAGGTCAGTGACTCACGAAAAATGTCTACACTCCTTTTTCTTGTAGCATCTAGCTCAAGCAGAACAGTCATTCGGAGCTTTTTGATTTCAATTATTGAGTCACGAACAAATATCTAACTCGCTTCATTTTCGTATCTTCGGCAATGCTCCACCTTGTCTTCGTCACGAACAATTTGAGCTTGTGAAATACCAAGACTTCACTACTAGCAGTCAGTCACAAACAATCTAGGAATAATATCAGTAGAAGTTATCACACTTCACTGCAGCATAGAAAAAGTAAAATAACTAGATTGAAGGTCAGGTTGTGAAAATGGTAATACCACCAGTGGTGGTAAACTACACATTGCGAATATGGTTCAAAACGGGAAATTAAATCACGAAATGCACAGTATAAAACAGTATTGCACTGTCAGTTTAGAAGATGCTAAAATCTGAAACATCCAAAACTCCATTTTGAATGGAATACAAACTTCATCAATGTTTCTGAATTTCCGAATCATTATAGTATACTGTTTCGAATATATATATATATTTTAGGCGTAAAACTTTTGAAATAAATCCTTGTTGTTGGCTGTCTGTTCACGGTTTTAGCGATTGATTTTATAAGAAACTGACATGCTTTCTACGTATTTATGATATTCATTTTCTCATCTTCCGATTACTAGAACTGTGGGATCTGAGTTTTATGGATAGGATTGTATTGGCCAGTAAATTCACTAAGCAAGTTCCTAGGCGATTCCATGTGCAACTGCATTTTTTCAGTTATTTTTTTAATGTCGTGCTAGTAAAGTGATAATGGTGGTTTTTGCTTGTAATTTATTATAATGACCACCTGTTTCAACTTTATATCTATGGGATCATAATGAATTAGCGTCTGTCACTGCCAGATATTCAATAGTATCGTAAGTAGTTATAAGCAGTCTTGGAGTACTTGTTTATGCTCTAAATCAACGATCGATCAGCACTCCTTTATTTTATTTAGGAAGTCGATAGTTCGTTCATCCTCCATAACAAACATATTTTAATTTATCTGATGTTGTATGCTGACAGTTTACTGGAAAAGTTTTATTATAGACCCACAGATAAAGCTGATTCTCATTACCACCAACCTTTTATCGATTGGCGCCTGTCTGTGCTGGAAACGTGCAAGATCTTGTGAACACCTTGTATGAATATTAGCGATTGTTTGACATGAGTTTTTAATGTGAAATACTTGGGGCGGTGAATCAGGACTGCTTGCTCGCACCGTTTTAGAGATAGAGCGGAGGATATGAATTACTGAATGTACTCCAGGGGATCATCTATCTTGGAAAACTAGTGGTCATTCAAAATAATTTTGTTGTCAAAAACATACTGATCCAATGTGATTTGAAGTTTTATTTTTAGCTACAAGTACATAAGGATATTCTAATTGATCAATCTACATGAATTTTTTTCTTTTTAGAATTACTTTACCAATTGCGATGTTTCAAATTCATTGCATAAATCCTCTTCAGAACCTAGTTTTAGATCTGTAGCATTTTTCGATGGACAACATATCTGTGATTTACAACGATTCAGAAGTTTTAGTGATTTTGGTAATAAATCATGGAAATCTCACTTTCGTCAACATTTGGTTCATTGGTCACCAATATTCAGAAAATCGCATGTCAGGTGTTCTCAAAATTTTGAAACATCGGAAATCCATTCAGATGAACTGCAGGTGAATTATCGCTGCATTTTGTTTTTCTCAATTTCCTATACTTGCTATCGATCGATGTATTTTCTTTCAAATATTGCAAAAAAATATTTATTTTCAACTTCACCCATTCATCTTCAGGGCATAACAAACCCTAGTATGTCCTTAAATAATTAGTTCGAAGGACAGGCATGAAATTATCCACTTGGTGTTTCCCACGTTTTTCATCTGTGGTGCAAGTAAGATGTTCATCTGTTTGCAAAAGTAGAGACCCCGTGTAGGTGATAAGTGTTTGACCATGGGTGTCTTCGAAGCAGTTCTGGGATATTCATTTATTTGTATCAGAGAAAAACAGGGAACACTAAATCACTCAATGAAAATAAGAAAGATCAATATTAAAGGATGCAGTTTGTGTGATAGGACAACCAAAATTTATTATATTCAATCGGAAGGTCCATCTTACTGAGCACAATCATCACGGTCCTAGTCATATCCCTTAATGTTCCAAGTATCTCAATTGTTTGGTATCTAATACCCTATTCTGGGAATCATGGCGAATCAATGGGTGATGCTTTAATACAACTATCCCTTTAAGTATATTTGTCTCATAGCCTAGGTTGTCAACTGTTACGTCCTACAATCAACCAATACACGTAGACGACCTTAAGTAACCAATACGCAACAAGCATTTGGAAGACTGATACTCTATGCCTGATGGTTGGCTCAATACTAATTAGCCCCAAACGTAGAGGGACGCAAAAGCAACGCTCACCAGTCCAGGATCATTATTATATTTCAGACATTCATTTATATACGTACAAGACCGGACCATACAGTAGACCAATCGGGTAACAGCATAAACACGAAACAACGACATTAATGATGGAAAAACGGAATGCTAGGTAAGTGAGAGATGCTGCAGCAACAAATTGCAGTCCAAACAAACGTCTAGAATTAGGGTAGTGGAAAATAAAACCAAAATATTTTGTAAAAACGCAATCAGTATGTGTAAAGAAAACAGTAGCGAAATAGCTTCGAAAGTTTTTACCTTATAGTGAAATCATCCCTTACGACATATGCATACTCTGTCAGATTAAGTCGATGTTCATATGACGTAATTGTAAAACAAGTTTTTTATATATAAATTCTGCTCCACTCCCCATTAAAATCGATTATATTGTTTGGGTTTTTAGTACAACGTATCATATTTTTAAATATACTCTTAATTGCTTACTATTTAACATAATATTCAATCGTAACAGACGTCTTACTCCAGTCGAGTTAATTCTCTTAGAACTGGCTATAAACTATGTCACCGTCAACATAACTACAATCCACTTCCGAAAAATGAACCAACTTCTGACTTGTCTGCTACTCATAGTTTAGCGATTGACAAATCAAAAATATCAGTAACTTTGAAGTCATCATATCACAATCAGGAATGTCAGAATATGGAAAAAATGCTTAGAAATACAGCTTCGTGTTTGGAAATTTCTTCTTTAAATAGAGATATTCAGGATTTGGTTTTGAACTCCTCTCCATATAATCTGACTGATAGAAATGATTTAAAGTGAGTGTTTGTTTTATTTCTACGTGTTTATTTTATCTAGTGTTGATTTATATGTGAATAATTTACACATACGGAAGTGTCCTTCGGAGTTTTCAGGTAATAAAGTAGGATTTCGATAAACACGACAGCGTGACGGATAATCGCTACACACGAATGAAGAGATGATCGTGTTCACCGGAACGTAATTAAATCGATGTCTGCTCACCTAAACATTAATAAGTTGCAATCTGCAACTAACGTCTCAGATGAACTTGTACCTTTCAGGAAAAAAAAGTGGGACGGCTGTATATATATATATATATATATATATATATATATGTATATATATATATATATTACGCTGATGGACTAAAACTGTAGGTTGCAAAGGGTAAACTGACAAGAATTCGAGGCTAATACTTGCACGGTAATCTTACGAATTGACAATAAGAGGATTTTCGAAAACAAATTAAAGGGTATTCTTGATATGTAACTACCCGCTTGATAAGCTTAGTATAGAAGCGTATATACGGTCGTCTAGTATTATTCACGCGTCTCATGAATGTTTATTTCATTTTATGATTTTCTACTGTATTTGCTAGGCATAAAATCCTTTGTAGGAGACACTGTCCTGTTTTCCCCAACAAGTTATGTAATAACCATGTTTGAAATTCGTTTAACAGTACATAACACTTTATTAGGTCACTAACCGATTCCCTGATTTGGTTTCCCCTCATTCATCTTCCAGGCGAAATACTTCGACGGAAAATATATTGTCTCCAGTTGAAAAAGCCAGATTGAGCCTGTTCCGTCATTCACCGTTATCCCACTGTTTGGGTATAAGTGGTACGTTTATCTTTTCGTTTATTTAGTCTATTACATCTTTTATACTATTAGTTTTCTGTGTGTACAATCACGAAATTTTTTCGGTTGTAAAGAAATATGAATTATCTTAGTTTGTAAGCATATAACCGTTAAATTATATTGCTGTATGACATAAAGTAATCAGGTGTAAATATTTATTGTTTTGTGTTTAATCACTGTTAAGTTCCGTTTAAAGAAAAAAAAGGAGTCTTGGCTATTCGACGTAATCACTGAATGTCGTAAGTTCTAGGATGACGTTCGTAAACCATGACCAATCCAACATTGTGGGTGTTTGAAGATGGTGATACACCTTGGTATTACCAACAGTATCGTCACTGTATGTTAGGAATTCTTTGGAGACAATGATGACCAAACATAGAGGCATTGAACATTATCAAATTGACGAGACCAAGTTTTGAAAGCATAGGAGTAAATTACTCTCACTGATCCGTCATTAACCCGACCATTTACAGCCAAACTGACATCATAACGACTCTGTCAGTCTTGGAGAAGTGTTTTACATCTCGAAGGCTTAGAATACGTGCTACGGTTACGGTTTCTGATTAGGTGCAGTTTTGATTGCTTATGTCTCATTTCACTAGAAGACTATGTCATTTGAATACTAAAGATCGAAAGGTTTTTCTACAGGTGATTGATACATACCACTACCACTTTCAGTCTTTGGAACTGTTTCTAGAGTATCAGTAGTCTTCTGTCAGGGGAAAAAGTTCATTATTTAACAGGAATAAGTTTATGGGATGATTCTTTGCATTAATATGTTTAAATGATTAAAAACTAAAATGATATTATAATTATGTTATTTGCATTCTTCGCGGTCAGAGTAGTCTGTAATAGAGCTGCTTTTCATTTTTTTTCGTTCATTTCAAGTCAGTCATGCATGATAGTATTGGCAAGTGCGTTTTGTGCGCGAACAAATCGTACGCTATATGTACTTTATATCACAGAAGCACGTAAACTGACAAATGCATGTTAGCTTGTCTTAAACTTATTTATGACTGAATTTCAGACAGGCGAACACAGTTCTCCAAAGTTTATTGTGGATATTCCTTCGTCGTTCGTGCTTTCAGATTTCGACCTACGAATCTTGATGAGTATTCACTCTTAAAAGTTATATAACTCTTAACATTTCTCACCTTTATTTCATTTTCTTTAGGCGATTATTTATTAAATGATATTGATCTCTCGAATCCATCTATGGATGACTGTATAAATTCTCCAGTGTTACTTAATACACCTTTAAAATTTCCTGATCATTCTCCTGCTTCTATAGTTAAAGTGAGTATCTTTCGTTTACTTAGTTTGGCTCGAATTTTGATTCGTCATATCAGTGTTTCGATAAGAATGTATTGTGGTTCGGTTGAAGTTAAACATTAACACCGTTGGATGCCGGCTCAGAGCCCTAGAGGTTAAGCCCTTGAGCGTGAGAATGAAGGTTTCTCGTTCGAATCCCGTGTGCGGGATCGTGAATGCACAGTGCTGAAGAGTCCTACACTAGGACTAAATAGCCGTCCAGTGATTCCAGGTTCTCATTTGTAGTCTAACATTGATGGGTTCATGATCTCAATTAAAGTTACACATTGTTTCCTGTTTTACATTTTGAAAATTTATTTTAAGCAAAGTATGAATGACAATGTTTGCAAAATATAATGAGCTGGTTGTATTTCCAGCCTTCTCTTCAATGGCATATGTAGACTAATAAATTTAGTTCATTCAAGATAGTAGCATCAAATTATTAAGGACGGAATTTTCCCCCAAATATCACTAAAATTGCAATGAAAATCTAAGTGATTCTTTATGTAGTCTTTGTGATAGTCCCATCATATTGTTGCGTAATGTATCGAAAGATTTATTTAAACTATGAGGATAGGAAGTGGATTTTAAATTGTTACGTGGTTGTTTTAACTTTCTGGACAATAAAAATTGGTTCCTTGTTTTCATCTCTTCGTTATCTAGGGAATTGAAAGCTAACCATATACTCTTTTCGAATGACCAGGTTATAGCCTTGTAATTACTATAACCTAAGAAAATTTCACTAAAGCAAAGTTATACTGCCCATTGGTTGTTTCTAATGTGCACATAGTATTCATCTTGTGTTCCATGTCCAACTGAAGATTGGTTCGTTAAATTTGTGGAGAGGTTGGTTTCCAACTACCTCAGTTCAACTGAAATTGTTTTTTCTCATCACTAGCATTCGAAATTCCCGAAAATTACTTTCTACATGTGATTCATACACTTAATAAATCAAATCATTCCTCAATTCATCACTTTGTAAACGTTTTTGCGTCATCTGTAGGGTTATAGAGTAGGTTGTTTTAAAGTAAAAAAAGGTTGATATTTTTAGAGAATTAAGGCAAATTAGTCATCTTTATAGTTGTGGTTTCCAGTCACTGGGGTGGCATCTATAATCTGTATTTTGAATGATTTATATTTTGCGTACTATTGCATCAGTAAACGACCATGATGGTTGTCGTTCGGTACATTTTTACTGTTCTAAAATACCATGAAAGTCAAACCATTTCCAAAAGTTCTCCTGCATCTGTTTATAATTTATAAAAATTATCTACATTTATTTTTGTGTCAATCCCATACATTCCCTCTATAATATATGGGTTATTATCTAAGTTCATAATCTCTAGCGGATAAAGGGTTGGTTAGTTTACGTAATGAAGATGTTGACAATTCATCAACATAAACGACAAACAAACAATGAACACCTTCTTTGAAGACTAAATCGGGATAGATCTTACATAACTCTTAAAGGTAATATAAATGAAGTAATACTAAGTTGATAGAACACATATTAAGTTGTTTAATTGCTATTTCAGGTTGTTTTAGTCCATCTTTTTTATTGTACTGTGAAGTAGTTTAACGAATGTTTTTGGGATCTTAACTATTGTGTATTGATCACTTACCAGGAAGGCATATTCGAATGTTGTGTTTGATCGGTAATTTTGTTATTTGTTTAAAACCATTTTTGTTATCTGATTTAATAAAATTAAAACTTTGTTTTAGAAAAGTAACAAACATTTAACTCGGAATTTCCACCCAATCGAGTCAGAAAGTAATCTTCCTGCTCAAACATTGCTTTATTCAAGTCCTTTATGTTCCATGCATATAAATTCAACTTGTAAACGTCAGCGGTTCGACAACAAACTGATCACTTCGTTGAACAGTACATCAGCAATTAATCCACTTCAAGTTACTACAGAATCACTTGAAAATATATCAAATCTAGAGAGCTTATCTAGTCACTTGTTAGGTACTCCGGAATATTTGGCACCAGAATTATTACTTCATCCTAATTCTAAAAGTGCATGCGATAGTCCAGCTGTCGATTGGTGGGCTTTAGGTGTTATATTATTTGAAATGTTAGTTGGTGTAACTCCATTTGCAGACGAAACTGTAGAAAATGTGTTTCACAATATTCTAAGTTTAGGTATGTTTCAGCAGTGGTTTTGATTAGCAGGTTTTTATTTCTTATTTTTATGCAAAAATCCTTAGTATTGTATTTTGTTTAATAATAAATAAAGTTGTGAAGTATTTGTTTATTTAGTCGCCTTCGAGTCATATAAGTGATACTATCCGGCTGCCCAAACCAGACTAAGTAAAACAGGGTTGAACCTATAACTGTATTGGTCAAAACCCGATTGCATCGACCAATAGGCCGCCACTGCAGTACTTAGTATACAGTTTTGAAAGAATTGATTTGATATGTGCTAAATAGATTAGAATGTTGAACATGTTATGTCTACATGAATGTCCTATAAATTTCTATTATTAGCGATAAGGTTCATTCTGATCATTTTCCTGCACCAATTCTTTAATAGCATACGCGATGGTCAAATAATTTTTGATATTCAGCTTCTTGAATTTATTACTCGAGTTTCTATACTTGACCAGATAGTTACTGTACAATACGCATTACATTTAGTCATATGATATAAGTGATTAATGTCACATTCTACTACTATCAAAACTGAAGAATTAAAGGAACCAATACTAAAAAATAAAAATTTAGAATTTAATTACAGTAAACGATACTTCGTTATTGTTCCTCATCAGAATAAATATACTTCCATGAAATCAGTCGGTCAGCAGCAACGTAGAACTTCGTACGTACGTACGTACGTACATCAGTTCGAGTTGCCACACCACATTAGCACAGAGATGCAGCTGTCCCTTCAAATCCCGTAGTGGTAGGGGTGGTAACAGTATAAGCAGTAATCGGAAAGATTAGGGTTTAAAGATGTTATTCAAGGAGTATAATCCAGTGAAATAAATTTGGAAAGATAAAAAAGGGGCATGAAGAATTCAGTAGATTAGAATTTGGGAGAACACAAAGAGTGGATGCACCTGTGCCATCGTAAACCATTTTGAGCCATGTCATTCAAGGTCTCTAACCACCACCGGTTGCTATCATCTCGCGGTCCCCAACCAGGTAGTCTACATCTACCAACATGACTAAGTCCACTTGTCAGTGACTTTATGGACTTATGCCATGTTTTGGTCTAGCCGCTCCTAGCTTTCTTCCAACCTACTCCTATACCATTGAACATCGCACGTCGAGGCAGTCGGTGGTCGGACATACGTAACACGTGCCCCAGCCATCTCAACTGATGAAGTTCCATTACTTCACCAATTGATTTGCCATCCTTACCTAGTACCCGTTTCCTAACAACTGTGTTACTTACACTACATTAGCCAAACTGATTCCTCTTCGATTGTCACAAGAGAATTTTTCTCCTTTCTTATAGACTGGCACAATCAGTGATTGAGACCAGTCAGATGGGATTACTTCCACTTCCCAAATTCTACCTAAGACCTCAGTTAATCTCAATGCTAATACTGGACCACCACCCTTAAGATTCTCAGGGGTGAACCTTTCAGGGTCTGCTGCTGTCTCTCTCGACCCAGATTTCCTATCGCTTTTTCAACTTCGTAAAGAGTCGAAGGATCTACATTAACTTGCCATTCAGGTTGACTGGAGATCGTTGGAAACCGAAGTGTGGCTGAAGGCCAGTTCAACTGATCCCTAAAGTATCCTGCCCGTCGACCCAATCTCCTGGATTGAGAATGCCATACCTAACAGCTACGGTCGGAACTTCCATGAAATAAATATGACTAATATCATTTATTACTGGACTGTATTTAATAATCTTACTAAAATTGATCAATAATTCTATTCTATTGTGTATGAGATTGTCAGATGAGGTGGATGTTGAAATGAGTAGAAGAAACTATCAGTCACTACAATATCGAAATAAGAAGTGAGTAGAATTTCACCACTACAAATAATCATAAATCTACTGTCGGTTATCTACAATTAGCATCTTTCACCAGTTTACTGTCCGTATTATGATGTTGTTTTATCCTTTTCCAAGTTATCGCGTCTAACTATTATTGAGGATTAAAGTGGTTTCTTTCTACATTCAGTAGGACTATCGATCAGCAGATCGTGTAAAGGCGTAATTTAATAACCAAGGCATTTAACTTTCAGTTGTTAAGCTGTATGCTCGAACTCTACCCTACTTATATTTGTTTTGATAGCTACAAGTGTCAATAGTCCCCACAGAAAACGTGTAACCGAAAGCTAAATATATCAACCCAATTACTGAGTTGTTTTTGAAACATTAAGTGTTTTGGTCTATTTACGGAAGCAGTGATATCCTGCATGTTGCTTGCGTCCGTATGCCAATATTTCTAATCTTTTTAATATTGTTTTTCACTGTTGTCAATTTTATGGTTTGTTCACAGATATACACTGGCCTGTTGCTACTACATGTGGATCATCTTTTAACATAAATGAATCACCACAAAAAAACTGTGAACTTTCACAAGCAGCTGTAAACTTAATTAATGGCCTCTTATCCTATAATCAAACAGACAGACTTCAAGTTGCAAATCAAATAAAGTCAAGTGATTTGTTAATACCTGTTGGTGATTGGAATAATTTACATGATTTAGAAATGCCTTTCATTCCTGATCCTGATAATTCAACAGATACATTTTATTTTGATGTAAGTAAACTAACTATTTGTAATGTTTTATTGTAAGCTATACATTTACGTAAAATATCTTTGTGACTGCGTAATTTAGCTGAATGTGTGTTATTGTATTATCTGAACATGAGCTTAAGCCTGATAACAGACAACTTAGTCAAATGCTTAATAGTTTTCTTAAATCATTCGTTAAAATACACCAGCTCACTCAGGAATATTAAGATTTACAGGATAAGCGAAGCGATAAGTACATCCAACCACTTTACTTCTTGTCATTAGTTTAACCGTCGACGCCAACCAGTGATGGAGCAGAATTCATTTAGAGGGCAAAAAACATGTCTCAAACATACGAGCCTTGTTGCTTAAAACGTTTTAGAAGACTGCCATACAATTAGTTTACTGTTTGGATATTCTAAACCAACAAGTGAAACACGTAAGTATGCAGAAAAACTCGGTTGAAATTTTCCGTCAGATTCTGTGCTTCCTCCTAAGATTTTAGTACAATAATGATTTGATGTATGGGACATCATTTCTAGTCTAGTGTTCAGCTACTTATTCGCTGGCTCATCAATGTTGAAGGTTGTATAATATTACTGGTTATTTTTGTACTACATAACTGTTATTTATATGAAACTTTGTGTCATCTATTATGTATTATAGTTCATTACTTTGCGTCGCCTTTATTGAAGATAGAACTAAATTAACGTACTTTCATCCTCACAGACGTAGTGCATAACCTAAAGTATTTATTGCATGTATTTGATTACTTAAGTTTATTGTACCCATAACAAAATCCCCTATTGTAATAATGTAACAGTCGCTTTCGTGAGTGAATTATTAAAATGTTTATTCATTCACCCTCATTTAGATTCGTAATCGGTACAATCAATATAGCGAAGAGGATCTATGTGCAAATGTGAAATGATAAAGTCTATCACTTAATTAATTAATTTTCGCTGTACAGGTAATATTATTGATACACATATTTGTACTTGTGAATAAATGTCTATTTATCAGCTTCTTTAACATGCGTAATTTTTCCGTTTCCATATCTTAAAAAATCGTTTTTAATTATGTCATATGTATAACAGTAAGTTAGCGTAGCTCATATAATGCTTTAATTTATAATTGTATTACAAATTGAGCGTCTATTAAAAATAAATTATTTCTTTCGCTTTTATTTTTTATAGATGAGTAGGTGTAACAGTGTCATTTAAAACTGCTTTTTAAGTATGAAGCACGTATTTTAGAGTGGGTTTCATAAGCTTAAAATAACTACACTTGCGTTCGCATTACCTTAATTTCTGTTTCTGTAAACATTTGAATCTAACCCTTGATGAATATACACCTTCATTAAGTTTATTTGTCCATTGAATATTGACTTAGTTCCTGCCTGTTTTAAGTGGTTCGCTATTGTATTCCTCTTTACTTCCATTAGTTGTTTGGAATACACTGTTGTACAAACATTTGTGATCGGCTCTTAATTTTACTCTGCCTGACACTAAATCAATTGAATTTAATTCTCTGGGAATTGCGGGATAACATAGAACGACGGTATCTGGATTCAGGTCAAAATTAGGACTTACCTCAACAGTGTTCGACCTCTTACAACCACGCTTATGTTTATATTGGCGGGATCAACTAATCTCATGTTTACAGTGAGATTAATCTCATCCCTCTCTTGAAATTCTAATCTTTACGCTTGCTTACGAGAGCTTTTATGATTATATATCTACGTTTAGTAAGGGACAGGAAGACGCGATAGAACGTGTTTGGTATCTAACGATGATTGTTAACGATGTATTCTTACGTTAACATGCATAATTGAAAAATAAATAACTGCGTCTGAGCACCCAATTTTCGGAGGTTATAATGCTTTCAATAAACTATCTTCCTCTTCACTTGGTTTGTTGCCTTCCCAATAGTTGCTATGACATAAGTTCCTATATTGTCACTTAGGGTTAGTAAGTTTTTACATACTCAATGTAATCAGATTGATCTTCAAGTGACAAATGTCCACACACTTCCCTCAAAGGTACTTATAGAATGTCATCAGTAAGATATAAAAGTATAATCTGTAAATTAACCTAACTACACTGTTATTTTGGTACATTGTAGAAAAATCACAGTATATCCCCCTATTCTATCTGGAGTATCTTTATTTAATGGTTTAGAAACGGTGACGGTTTTCACGGCCTCTTATCTGCCAAAAACGCTTGACACAATCGAGTTTTATGTACAACAGATCTTCTATGGTTAGTTCAGTTACCTGAGGTAATCTGCTTTTTTAAGTTAATATGCACTTCATTCCAGTTGAGATTGGTATCTCAACAACATCGTTAACTGTAAAGGCCCCATCTTATTTCGGAATAGTGGCTTCATGATTGTACATCCTTACCTCGCGGTTGAATATTCTCACACATCATTTCCTTACCTGTGAAAATGTATCTTCCAATAATATAAAAGGCTAAATCACTGGTTAGTACTGTTATTAGTTTGATATAAAAAGTCAGTAATTTCTGGATGAGTTGCATTTTTTCCAATAAAAACTTCACAGACTAGTTGTTTTTTCAAGAATTAATTAGCAAAGATATTTTGCTATTGAAAATAGTTTAACATCTGTCAAAACAATGCAGTTATGTTTCATACATTTCCTACCTTATTAAAGAAGAAATAACTGTCGTAGCAGAATTGTGGCTTCTTTTTTATACAGGAATTATTTTTACATAAATTATTCACAAATGCTTATTAGAAAATATCCTTGTGAATATGTTGAGAAAATTCCTACATCACTGTATTATCTAGATAGGTAATTGTATATATTCAACAGATTCTTCATCTAAAAACGGTGGATTTAAAAACTCCAATTCTATTAGATCATTTGTAGGCTGAGAAAATATTTTGTAGTTATTATGAACATTTTCATAGTCGATACTTAGTTGTTCAATTAGTTGACTGAACGCTTGTGACACAACGTCACGAAATAATGCAGCTTGTTCTTTTAATTTTTGTTCTAATGTGCTGATTTTCGAATCTTTTTCTGCCTTACAATTTAGGAATTCTTGACGTAAATTTTTCAGTTCATTATTTCTTATCTCAATTAATTTATTGGCCTCATCTAGTTTTGTGGTTAATTTTTCTATTTCGTCTCGAAGATTGGTTACTTTTATTTCGTTTTCTGTGATTAGGAAAGCATTATGATTTTGTGTTGACTTTTTCAATTCATCATAATTTCTTACAGACTCCAATTTCTCAGTATATGCTTGATAGCGTCGATTTTCTGCATTTTCTGCAATAAATATTTTTCTGCTTACTTCTTCCCGCAAGTTTTTTACGTCTTCCTGTGTTTTTTGTAATACCTCTATCACAGGGTCCTTTGCTTTAGTTTTCTTTCCTTTAGTTTTACGTTTACCACTAACAGATTTCGACATTATTCAGAGCTATTTTTAGTTCAAAACAAATCGTTTTCTGAAGAAATCCTACAAAAAACATGTAAATTTTAATAAAAGAAGTTAAGAACTAGGAGATTTATGGTTCACTTTATATGTCTACTTTGTAACAAACATTACAGTTCTCAGACTTACTAAAAATCAATGTATATTTTGTATATATTACTCCTGGTTTTAGCAGTGAACATTTTCCATACTATACGAGGTCAAAATTGCATTTCTTTCTACATGACATTACATTTCTTACTAATTAGTATATAATCTAATGATTGACACGAATAAACTTCTTGTTTAGAGCCTAGTACTAACACTACATTATGTTATCATATGGCACTCACACAAATTTCAGCTTGGTTGCATCTAAACTTTACGGTTTTCAAGTAACGAGCTTTTATGCATTTGGTACTGGTTTTTAAAGCAGTTGGATTGGTATTTTCATATCGCATCAGCATTTTGTGTAAATATAAGCTAATTATCATTTGTAAGCTAGTAAAGTTTGCTCGTGTTTGGTTTCCTATGCAGTTTTTCTTCACTGCAGTACGTTTCCCTCGTTGTACATAGTGGAATTAGTATCGATTTATTAACCGAATCAAGAAAATTAGAGTAATAACATTATCATTCTATAGAATAATTCTGATGTTGTAATCTCGAATTAGTTCATTCGATAACTACTCTCACTCTCTGTACATTAAGACGAGCACCATTTTTGATAATTACGTGCAACACTTACGAAAATACTCGTCTGTTCAGATGTGAATAAAAGGAGTGAGAATCGAAGCAGTCTCATCACTGACCATTAACTTGTCGAAATTAACTTCACAAAGAGCTCATCCGCATCTTAACTCTTTACGCGTTTTAACAATAACAGTCAGTGTTTTGAAGAGCCGACCTTAATAACCTGCACCTTGATATCAATATTTTGCGGACGACTAGTATTCTCTCTGTGGAAGTTTGCAGATAATAGTCGGTTATTTGATTTGGACCTGTTACAAAATAACAGCTATGCAGCTTTAAACGTCGATTCTCGAATGAGATCTCATATTAAACTGTATTTATCGCCCATAAATAGGTGAGGATTACAAAGTCTAGTGTGTTTAATAATATTCCATTCAGTTGTCGAAAATGAGGTTGTGGTAGCTTAGTAAATCACCTCAATACGATGTTTTAATAGAACAGATGATGACAAGTTCAAAGCATTTTGTGAAAATATTTGCATCAACTGAACAGGTTTTCATTATTATGCTATCATTATTCTAATTGATTTTAATAGTTTGAGTCGATGTGGCCACTTCAAGGAACGACTTTTACTAATCCCGTTAGAGAGTCAATATAGTACCTGTTTATAGCTTTGAAAACCTTACAAATATTTGGCCAAGATTGTATTAGACTGAAAGACTTATCTAAGAAACATAATAACACCAACTATTAGTAAGGAGGGAAATGTAGAAATCAAGTAAGAACAGCTGTAAATGATAACCGACTGTCTGTTGTTATACCAAACAGATGCAGTGGCCCATTCTACTATATAGAAAGTAGATATAAGGGCAGTCAGTCATCCGTCCTCAGATGAAAACTGTAAATTTGACTTGGAAGCATTAAGTCACTGCCAGCAGTTTTACAACCATGTGACTCGGCTATTTATACCTCGAATAGTTTTATAGAAGTAAAACATTGCTAGTTCATGGATGAACCGATAGATTCTGTCGAGACAAACCAGTTACATATTTCAAGAGTCAACATCAACTGGACATTACTTATCACAATACAATACACAAATCACCTTGATCATTTATAGATGCTGCTTTCATGTACTGATTATCGGGGGTCAAATGCGTAGGCCTATTGGCAAGGCATTCATGACTGACCTGATCACGAGATCAGGGAAGGCAGACGTAGGATGTGCCTCAAGATGAAGTATATTTTTCTATCTACTCACTGGGACCATCAGGTTCGCGTTGCAAGAGATACCCTTCATGAAACGATATTACCAACAAGCGAGACATTTCACCGAATGTTGGTAGTCCCCTTCATCAAAGACCCAAGTATTTGTCGTCATGAAGGGTAACGAATTTCGTGTCACATGTTTACCCTGATGTCCGTTTAATCAGGTTCTTCAGCACTAGATAATGAGGTGTTTCTTCTGATCAAATCACTTTCGAGGTTTTATGGTGTTTTATTTTCTTCTCGTGAACTGGTTTGCATTGGTTGACTTTGTTTTATCATTTGTAGATAGATGTAGTGCCGGATATTTTATTCCACACAACACTTGCGGAGGTCTACAAAGGCTTTCCGAAAGAATTATTGTGCACTCTGCTTGACATCCCATGGCTACGTCTTGTAATTTGTGCTAAATACTCGATGCGACATTAGAATAGTTGTCGGCAGTAGAAACTCATATCATTTGCATACTCCTAAAGCAATGTGCCATGATGTAACTTCATACAAAGATGTTCCATAACAGATAAAGCACTGTACCGTTTCTTGTTTGCAATGACTTGTTACACAATTGCTGAGGCAATATCAGGTTTGTTTACTAGTAAGGACAACTCTGTGGACAATAATTAGATCCTAACTGTTTCAATCCTTAGTATTGTTTAGTTTCTACCTATTTCCAGCGTCAACCTCGACTAAGTAATATCTTGCTTTTAAGAGCAATTCAATAGAATTATAAGATAAACTGATCTAACCTTATGTGATAAATATTCACTACCATGCACGTATTTATGTGGATCAAGATTGAGCAAAATATAATCTTCAAAATTGTATCGTGCTCTGCGCTTTTCAATCTTAAAATGTCACAGTTTTGCATCAGTATATTCATACATTGGGAAACGAAGTGACTAAGCCGAGGTCACAAACATGCATGTAACTCTTACGCACGTGCGTTTCTTGTTCAAAAGCAACAGTCAGAGTTTGTAACATCCACAATACAGTATGTTTTCAGGGGATTCGTATGCCTCAGTTGTTGTAATAACAGACTGAAAAAGTAAATCTGCAGACCCATGGATGGAAAATTGACAAGAAACGTAGAGGTGACGACTAACAAATCATTATAATACTTTCAACTAATCAAGAAGAGCTCGCGACAGAACTTATCGAATCGTGAGATTAAGCGTAAGAATTGGGATAGTTTGTGAGCTTACGTTTAAGTATCTGCGTCTAGTCACCACGACAATATCGCAAGGTTTTTCAATATCCAATATATTCGAACGAGCTCCGATAAGCTGATTTCTTTTTGCTCACTTCTTCCCGTTTCGGTGCGGTTTAACGTATAAGGTTATCTTCAATGTGCATAGATTAGATATTCAACTCCACCAATTTTGGTCTATTTGGTACTTATTAGTAGATTTGTATATCTTGTAATTTCAGATTCAGATTTGTATAGTAAGGACAGAAAGCCTACGGCCGATTTTATTCCTTTTCCAGTATGCTTCTGTGAGTGTCCAGTCTTCTCTTGAAACAGTCAATTGAATGACCGACTGCCTGTTGTTATACCAAACAGATGCAGTGGCCCATTCTACTATATAGAAAGTAGATATAAGGGCAGTCAGTCATCCGTCCTCAGATGAAAACTGTAAATTTGACTTGGAAGCATTAAGTCACTGCCAGAAGTTTTACAACCATGTGACTCGGCTATTTATACCTCGAATAGTTTTATAGAAGAAAAACATTGCTGGTTCATGGATGAACCGATAGATTCTGTCGAGACAAACCAGTTACATATTTCAAGAGTCAACATCAACTGGACATTACTTATCACAATACAATACACAAATCACCTTGATCATTTATAGATGCTGCTTTCATGTACTGATTATCGGGGGTCAAATGCGTAGGCCTATTGGCAAGGCATTCATGACTGACCTGATCACGAGATCAGGGAAGGCAGACGTAGGATGTGCCTCAAGATGAAGTATATTTTTCTATCTACTCACTGGGACCATCAGGTTCGCGTTGCAAGAGATACCCTTCATGAAACGATATTACCAACAAGCGAGACATTTCACCGAATGTTGGTAGTCCCCTTCATCAAAGACCCAAGTATTTGTCGTCATGAAGGGTAACGAATTTCGTGTCACATGTTTACCCTGATGTCCGTTTAATCAGGTTCTTCAGCACTAGATAATGAGGTGTTTCTTCTGATCAAATCACTTTCGAGGTTTTATGGTGTTTTATTTTCTTCTCGTGAACTGGTTTGCATTGGTTGACTTTGTTTTATCATTTGTAGATAGATGTAGTGCCGGATATTTTATTCCACACAACACTTGCGGAGGTCTACAAAGGCTTTCCGAAAGAATTATTGTGCACTCTGCTTGACATCCCATGGCTACGTCTTGTAATTTGTGCTAAATACTCGATGCGACATTAGAATAGTTGTCGGCAGTAGAAACTCATATCATTTGCATACTCCTAAAGCAATGTGCCATGATGTAACTTCATACAAAGATGTTCCATAACAGATAAAGCACTGTACCGTTTCTTGTTTGCAATGACTTGTTACACAATTGCTGAGGCAATATCAGGTTTGTTTACTAGTAAGGACAACTCTGTGGACAATAATTAGATCCTAACTGTTTCAATCCTTAGTATTGTTTAGTTTCTACCTATTTCCAGCGTCAACCTCGACTAAGTAATATCTTGCTTTTAAGAGCAATTCAATAGAATTATAAGATAAACTGATCTAACCTTATGTGATAAATATTCACTACCATGCACGTATTTATGTGGATCAAGATTGAGCAAAATATAATCTTCAAAATTGTATCGTGCTCTGCGCTTTTCAATCTTAAAATGTCACAGTTTTGCATCAGTATATTCATACATTGGGAAACGAAGTGACTAAGCCGAGGTCACAAACATGCATGTAACTCTTACGCACGTGCGTTTCTTGTTCAAAAGCAACAGTCAGAGTTTGTAACATCCACAATACAGTATGTTTTCAGGGGATTCGTATGCCTCAGTTGTTGTAATAACAGACTGAAAAAGTAAATCTGCAGACCCATGGATGGAAAATTGACAAGAAACGTAGAGGTGACGACTAACAAATCATTATAATACTTTCAACTAATCAAGAAGAGCTCGCGACAGAACTTATCGAATCGTGAGATTAAGCGTAAGAATTGGGATAGTTTGTGAGCTTACGTTTAAGTATCTGCGTCTAGTCACCACGACAATATCGCAAGGTTTTTCAATATCCAATATATTCGAACGAGCTCCGATAAGCTGATTTCTTTTTGCTCACTTCTTCCCGTTTCGGTGCGGTTTAACGTATAAGGTTATCTTCAATGTGCATAGATTAGATATTCAACTCCACCAATTTTGGTCTATTTGGTACTTATTAGTAGATTTGTATATCTTGTAATTTCAGATTCAGATTTGTATAGTAAGGACAGAAAGCCTACGGCCGATTTTATTCCTTTTCCAGTATGCTTCTGTGAGTGTCCAGTCTTCTCTTGAAAGAGTCAATTGAATGACCGACTGTCTGTTG